ACATTTTCACACTAATATATATGCTGTACTTTTCTGGGTAAAATTTCTGTACCCATTGAGATTAATAACATTGTTTTTCTCCTTTACCTGTTACTATGGTAAATTACAATGATAAAATTTTAAATATTGAACTGCTTTGCATTAGACACATTAACTCATTATATCATCATTCACATTCTTTTTACACATCTCTGAATTTGATTACCTTTTTTTAAAGGAAGAGCATGTCCATGCATGTCTATAGAAGAGTTTGTTTTGTCATTTCTCTCTTACAATGTCCTTTTGAGGTTTGGATGTCATACTCTTTGAAGAATTTCTGTTGTCCATATGATTTTTGATATATTAAAATCTTTTACAAGTTTATATGTTTGTTTTAGTTCTCCTGTGAGCATTAGTGATAATTTAACATGTGGAAAGAACTTTTATAATACCTTTACCTAATAGATATGATTGATCAGATTTTTATGTTTCTTCACTTTTGAATTTAAAATGGCATTTTATATGAATTATCAAATACAACAACATTGTTCTTATACATTTTGGGCAGTTTTGTTTATTAAAGGTTAGCGAAAGCAAAAATAAATGAATTGTGTCTAACAAACATGATAACCTAATCAAAGAGATCCAGGCCCACTAGTTCATATGATTTCATCACTTGAATATATTATAATTTTTCAAATTTTATTTTTACCAAATAGTCTACATGCATTCAACGTGCACACACAAAAAAATATGTAATGTGCTTCTTGACTAAATTGCTGGTACAAGTGGGCTAGAAATTGAGGAATGAGTAAATAAGAAAGAACGAGAGTGAGAGCAAGACCTGGAGGTAGTGGCACACTGCTGAGATCCCAGCACTCCAGGAGGCAGAGGCAGGCGTGTTCCTGTGAGTGTGAATGCAGCCTGGTCTACAAAGTGAGTCCAAGACAGTCAAGGCTACACAGAGAAACCTTGTTTGGGGAAAAATATATATTAAGAGCAAAGAAGAAAGAGGGGAAAAGAAAGGTAATCAAAGCAGACATTCTATATTTTTAAAAATGTTCTGGAAAGAAGTGATTTCCTTGTGAATTTGCTCTCCTTACACTGAAACTTACAAGCAAAGTAAAGGAGAGAAGAGCCAAGGTTAGTGATAGTAATCCCACAATCAGGTGTGTAACAACCAGAAAGTAGATGTAATACGCAATGGTGTAATTTATCTGCCTGATAAAAGTTTGTACATGTTCACTATGTTGGTGTGTATATGACTTCTCCATCACAAAGATGTGGTAATTTCGGTGCCTTATATTCAAAGAAAGCAAGGGAGAATTGAAAGATGGGAACTCAATCTCAAGGCAAATATAAAAGTCACAAGAGATCTTTAATTCAAAAAAAATGATTAATCTAGAAATGAGTTATCATTAAAAATTTTTATACAGCATTCTGCCTGTGCACCAGATCTTACTCTAGATGGTTAGGAGCCACCATGTGGTTGCTGGGAATTGAACTCAGGACATTTATAGGAGGACCCTATGGAGGATGCTTAACTCTCATCCAGAATGGCCAACAGGATAGACACCAGAAGCAGTGGAAGAAAGGAAACAGAATAGAAGCCTACTGTACAGGGTCTTCTGAAAGGCTTCACCCAACAGGGGCTCACAACAGTTGCTGAGACTCACAGCCAAATTTTGGGCTGAGCGCAGGGAGTCTTATGGAAGAATGGGAGGGGGTAGAAGAACATGGAGGGGACAGGAGCTCGACAAGGAGACCAACAAGACTAAAAATTCTGAGCCCGGGGCTTTCTGCAGAGACTGATGCAACAATCAAGGATGATGCATGGAGAGGACCTAGACCCCCTGCTCAGATGTAGTCAACTGGCAGCTCAGTCTCCATTTTGGGTTCCTGAGTAAAGGGAGCAGGGTCTGTCTCTATCACGAACTTGGTTTCCTATTCTTTAATAACCTTCCTCTGTCAATGAGGCCTTCCCAGGCCGCAGAGAAAGAGGATCCAGGCAGTTCTGATGAGACTTGATCAGCTATGGGCAGATAGCAAAGGAGAACTCCCCCTTTCAGTAAACTAGGGGAAGGGGATAGAGGGATGAGGGAGGGAGGGACTGGGAGTGGTTGAGGGAGGGAGCTTCATTTGAGGTATATAATGAACAAATTGTAAAAAAGATAAAAATTAAATTTATAAAAGTTTCCAATAAAAACTTATAAAAAAAAAACCTCTTAGAATCTTATACATTTTGTTAATTAAAGGACTTGGGATAAGCTGAGATGATATAGAGACAATCTACTGGCATCATGAGAAGGAATAAAATGGAAAGTCAAGGGGAATGAAGACTAGACTGAGAATCCCAAAAAATAAAGCTCCTAGGAAGAAGTAATAAAGAGAGGAACAAAACACAAATAAAGAGACCTGCCATTGTTTTTCTAAATACAGACTTAATTTCCATATAAAATATTCTTAAGAATTGCCTGAAACAGAAAGAATAAAGAAATATGTAGTGTACGTTTGAGAGCAGAAAGATATTTCAAAGAAAGAGAAAATCTTTAGAGGATCCCAAAAGGAAAAACCAAAGCATCATATAAAATGTGTTCATGAAACAAAGATGAGAAGAAAAAGGAGAAAGAAGATAGGTAGTTGAGACAATTTTTTGAGACAGGGTCCCACTGCATAGCCCTGGTGATATAGTATTCACTATATAGACCAGGAGGATCTACAGTTCAGTGATCCACCTGCCTCTGCTGAGACTGAAGGATTGTGCCATCAAGCCTGGCTTCTTTTCATTTGTAAAGGGTTTCACGCTTTCTCTCTTCTTTCATCATGTCTATTCCTCTGCCTTTGCATTAATGTTTTCATGAATTTTAAGATGCCTCTATTCTGCCCTACACAGTCAACACCTGGTCACTATTCCCTTGTAACCTTTCCTGTTACTTTTTATTTGTTGACACAATTCTGAAATCCCTTTGGGATTGTGTTCTTTCTGCCTAATTAATTTCATTAAAAGTATTTTTGGGGGGTGCCTATATGATTAAATTACTTCTCTCAGTCTTTGCCCAAAAGCTTCATCACTGAAGGTACATGTGCTACAGGTAGAGATGCAGTTGGGAATACTTTTTTTTTCTACAAATATAAAGACATGGTCTTTAATTTCATGACTGAGGTTTTAAAGTCCATTTTTAGTTTTCCTGGTCTCCTTTAAAAGAAATACATTATTTCATACAGTTACCTTGATTTTTTTTTTGTCTTGGGCCTTATATTGAGCAGCTATCTTATGATATGCGTAAGGGTGATTTGTCTCTTACAGGCCCTGATTAGGTTTATGTGAATATCCTGAGCACTCAAAGACTCACCAGTGATGGAAATTGTCAGTCGTTATCTCTTCAGATATTGTTTAGCCCTTTCCTACACCCCAAATCTCCTCTCTTATTCCACCCCTTTCTTGTCTAAGCCCGTCTTCCAATTAGGTCTTCTTCCCTCTTTCAGGTCTTCTGTGTGTGGTTCGCTTTCTTTTTGGGGCTCATACATTGCTTTTTTAAAAAACTGACTGATGAATATAATCTATATATCAAGAAGAACTTAATCTGCCAAATAATGTGCCTTTTAACTCTTCTTTAGCTTTGGTGGTAGTGAGGTAGTTTGGGTAAATTGCAACTACTTCAACTTCCAGTAGAATAATGGTAAAGATTTAAAAATAAATAGTAGAATATAAAGAATGTTGTTCAATTGCTCACTCTCTACTAAAAGGTCAAGGAATTTTGATAGTCCTGTCTAAATACATGTCATGAGTTTTATATATATATGTAAAACTAATATATATATATATATATATTCAGTAAGCTTAAAAGCTTACTGAACACAATAGAATACTGCAATTACAAATCAATAAATATGCTACTGCTCCAATTTATTAACAAATAAAATAATACTCATTATTATTCATCAGTTTAACTCAAAGTAACTGAAGGATGCACTAAACAATGAAATAAAAGGATGTAACACCAAAGATAATTTTGTTTTTGCTTTTGTTTTTTGTTTGACTGATAAACTCTACCCAAAGCCACCAAATAACACAGTGAAATTTGGAAATCTTCTAATAAACAGAATTACACAGAATACCCAAACTTCAAAAGAAATTTCCTCATTTGAAACGTGGGGAAGCTTCCAGAAAAGAAACACACACATTACACTATGCTTGGACTTGTTTGTTTTAGGAGAAAAAAAAAGATAAATGTTAAACCCGCAATGACTCTGCAGTCTCCTTTTTAGAAAGGTAAGGCATAATTCTGCGGTTAACTATTAACAGACCTTATGTCAAAGAAGTGATTTCACTGTTTTGTTTGATAAATGGAATGAGAAATTAAACATTTTCTCTTTAACTTTTGTCAAGTAAGATTTCAAAACTCTAACCACACTACAGAGCACTCGCGACCAAATCAACAGAACCACTAGCAGGCATGGCGAGCACAGACAGCGTCACTGTCTGTCTGTACACTTATATACATTTTAAATTTTATGACTTGGCTATTCGGGGCACTTAGCCTGGCAGTGAACACGACATGATGCTGCCTTCCGGTCACACAGAAAGATCCAGGCAGCATAAGTAATTTTACACAACCTGCCTTTGAAAAGACGAAAATACACGGAAAGAGCAGGTGGCACCAATGTATACAGAAATGCAAGTCTTCTTAAGAGCAGTAAAATGCCTCAGGAGATCATTCAGAGTCTCATTCAAAGAAAATTTTATACTATTCGGGTTCATTATGCTTATGGTAGTATTAGTCACCACGAGATATTCATACGTGGAGAAAAATATGAAATATGCTTAGTACGACTAAAAGCTTAGTTTCTTAATATCAATAAAAGGAAACTACCAGCATTCTTAAGGATATAAGTAGGTAAGATTAGTGGAAAACTTCGTAGAAACGAGATCATTTCCTTAAAAAAAAATTGTACGACACTTGTGAGTGTACATACTTAGCTGAATACAAAGCTATCCCTGCGGTGGAGATTGTCCTTACAGTCCGTCCCCGAGTCCTGAACCAACAGACTGGGGATCACGGGTTTGAGGAATTTGAACTCACCAGTCCCAGAGTCTCCTGTCAGACACACCTCATACTGGTAGCTCTGGGACAGAGTCCCCTCACCGCTGATATCCACCAGGTGGCCAGGAAAGTGTCCTTCAGGCACAGAACAGACACCCAGAGGGGCCGCCCTGGCCCTCCTGCACAGCCTCACTCCCACAAACAGCAGCACAGAAAGGAGGAAGAGCGAAGACACAGATGCCAAGGCTATGACCAGGTACAGCGTGAGCACATCTTCATCATCGTGCGTGGGGTCGCGCGCCACCTCTGGCAGAGGCAGGTAGGGCTGGGA